CCACCTCCATGAGCTCACCACGACATGGGAGCATCTGGCACATTCATCATCCTCTCCCAGCGTGCATGGATGCTTAGGAGGTAGATAATGTCGCAGGCATATGTGTGTGTATTATCATGCAGATGCAGATATGACGATTATTTCATAACAGAAGTGGAACACAGCTCAACTCTGCCTGACTTTTGATCCTGCCAGTGCTGCAGAAAAATTCAGGCTGATCTGTTCCATAGACAGGAAATGGAAGGACAGAAGGAGAGAGAGATTACAGGTCACTGTGCGTTCCCTAACACGTGCTGTGATCTTGGCCCTTTCTTGCAGAGATCTGATTTCACAGGGAGGAGGAAAAGGCAAGTGGGAGACAAAGAGGCTGCCACCAGGCACGCACACACTTTCCATCCCTGTGTGAAACTAAAAAATAGGACAGGGTCATGTAAATAAGGCAAAAGCGTATCAACAGACCACATGCTGTAAAATGGTGCCAAAAAGAGAGAGAGAGAGAGAAAGCAAGAGAGAACAAATAAATGAAAGAAGAAAGAAATGTATAAAACTGATTTTTCCTAAAGAGAATTTTCTTTTGAATCAGATCAGAGTACTCTCCTTGTTTTATTTCACATTGAGTACATAGGTACATAGGCATCCATAAAGATAAATAATTTTTTTTAATTTATTTGTTTATTTTTGGCTGCACTGAGTCTTTGTTGCTGCACGGGGCTTTCTCTAGTTGCAGCGAGGGGGGTTACTCTCTAGTTGCAGTGTGGCATATGGAATCCCTTCTGGACAAGGGATTGAACTCAGGTATCCTGCACTGGCAGATGAATTCTTAACCACTGGACTCCCAGGGAAATCCAAGATAAATAATTTTCTACTTTAGATTTTAAACTCAGTGAGAACAACGCATGGTACTAGTCCTTGTTTAATTCCATAGCCTCAAACTCTTGGTAGAAAATCTAATATTACATTTTTTCTCATCTAATTTGGAAAGATTTGAAAGATTTAGGGGAAGAAGGAAGTTAAATAGAATATGTGAAAACAGAGTTCTCTGAACCTGAATTGATTGAATTATAAAAAGAAGCAGGGAAGGAGGCATTGTGGTCCAAGACATGGAGCCCACCATATTCCATTGGTAACCAAAGCAGCAATGCTTAGTCAATGGCCCAGGACACCCTGGGTGTTTTCTGAGAAGAGCATGTGTGAAAGGGGAGCAAGGATAAGTAAGGGAAACCAGTACTCAACCAATCATTCACATTCATGAGCAAACACAAATTAGGTTTTTCCATTGTACTATATCTGGAAGAGGGCACGGCAACCCACTCATGTTCTTGCCTGGAGAATCCCTATAGACAGAGGAGCCCGGTGGGCTACAGTCCATGTGGTCACAGAGGCGAACACAACTGAGCGACTAAGCACATTGTACTATGTGCATTATTTTCAAATATCTTTTGATAGTGATTTCTAACATAATTCCACAGTGTTAGGAGAACAGACTGTTTGATTCCAATACTTTTAGACCATGAAATTTTTGCACCTTGTTTTATGTCCCTGGATATGTTCTAGTGTCTCCTAGCTTATAATCTATGGGAACCTGAATAGAATTTGTATCCTACTGTTGTATGAAAATTGTGTAAATCTTAGTTATGTTGAATTGATTCATAGTGCTTTTCAGGTCTCCTATATCCTTCTACTTCTCTGTATATTCATTCTATTCATTTTTGAGACTTTGATATTGAAATTCCAACTAAAAGTCTTCGTTTACCTACTTAGAAAAATAATTTTAATATAATAGTGGAACTATATATACCCTTGTTCTGTGTTTTTCAAGTCGCCTGTAAATGTGTTATCATACTTTCATAATTTAAAACATAAAAAAGAAAGAAAAAAATTAAAAGATTGTCTTATAGAAAAGATAAATAAATAGATAATAAATAAATAAATTAGCTTATAATTTGGGAAATACTTTTGTTTGCATTATACTTAGAGTAGCTTCAATCATAGTGAAAAGTTAGGAAGATGTGACAAATGAAAAAGTCACTTCATTTTAATTTGGATCTATTTCATGCATCTGAGGAATGGTCCCATTGGCTCAACTCTGATACCCCTCTGGCAGCCTCTGCCGAGGTTGCACTTTGTCAGCACTGGAGGGTGCTTATGTGTTTTTATCCAGATAAATGTAGAGTTGCCTGAGTGATCTGTCATAATTGTTTCAGGGGGACGGGAAGGAAGGTTTGAAGGAGGCTTGATGATGATAAGAGAGAAGTGGGGACTGGTGATGCCACTCAGCGTGGGTCAAATTAGAGGGCTCAGGCATGAGACCATTTTTGTCTGGGACTCGGGCCTCTAAACTTGAGCAAATTTCAAGGTCAGCAAGGGGAAGAGAATAGGAAACAACCAGAAATTCTTTTTTTTTTTTTTTCATGTAATGTTCTTTATTTCCCATCTCCAACACTCCTGTTTCACTCATACCCCCTCTGGTTGTCACACTATTTCCTCTCTCCCTCCTTGAGCAAAACTCATGAAAAGAGCCGTCTCAGTTCATTGTCTTTGCTTCCTCACCTCCAACCTCTCCACTCAACTCTAGACACTAGTCCCGAGCACTCCATCAGAATTCATCAGTGCTGTCAGTAACAGTGACTTTGCCAAGTCCAGTGGTAAGTCTGTCTTTTTTTACTTGGATTCTCAACAGTACTGATAGAATCAATCACCCTCCTTGAAATATTTTCTTCCTATTTTCCTGGCCACTTCTCAATCTCCTTTGCTAGATTTTCCCACCCTTTTCCAGCTTCTAAAATGAGAACTCTAGGGTTCGGTCCTTAGTACACTGTGAATATACTCACTCCTTCTTAAGCAAGCCTATCTACTCTGTGGACTTATACCAAGACATGGTAAACAGTGTACAAAAGGTTGATACAGTTCGGGAGTTAGCATCATATACTATAAGGTTGACCAGAGCTTATCTTGAGATACAAGGTAACATTATACTTAGCAAAACTTAAATTATAACTATACAGTAGTTCCTAGGACAGAGAATAAGTTTTTCTTTAGCGACAATTTTCTGACAAAATGAAGAGACACAACGTGACGGGTCTTCCCATATGACTTTCAAGGCACAACCATAAAAGAGGATAATCTTTGCTGAGTCAGCTTGATGTAGATCAGAAGGCTCTTGGACTCCAGGGACAGGGCAGCCTGGTGCTCTCAGAGACAGGTCCACAGGCGCAGCTTACAGTCCAGAGAGGAGCACCCACTCAGGAGGATGCCCAGGGTCTTCCTGAGGGTGAGGCTCGGGCTCTGTCGGGCGCCGAGCTACATGGGAGTCTGGGGAGGTCACAGTCACGGGCTGGGAAGAGCTGATTTGAGAGGATGAGACTGACAAGTTAGAGGGAAACACCCGTCCTGATGTGACAGCAGGCAGGTGTCTAAGTCCAAATGTTTGAGAGACCCACTTCAGTTTCGCTACCGAGGCCTATAAATTCCTCTTTTTCTGAACCAGTTTAGGCTGTCTTTTGTAAACAACTGTGTCTTAAAGAGCACTGTTGAAATAAAAAGTGTAGCAGACTTGGGACAGTCATCAGAGGAGACAGTGGGCAGAGCTAGCCCCAGGGAAGAAGCCCAGCTCTAGCAACAACCGTCCAGCCCTGAGAAGACTGAAGGTGGCCTCATTTGAGTGGCAAACAGTAATGTTTAAATTTCAAAAATCACTTATCCTGCTTCCTAATATTACTTAAGCCGCACAGTTCCATGAGGCAGGGTAAACTTGAAATCAATGAAATATAGTGATCTTTCAAAACTGAGTAGCTGATCTACACATCAACAAGACAGGTTAAATTAAATCAAACTCAATAAAAAGCATTTTAAGACATCAGTGTCCATACTCATCTTTAATATGAGTCAGTTTTTCAAAAGGGGGAAGACTTAGGGGAATGTCAAAAACAAAGTGAGACCAAATTTGCTTTAATCTCTGTTCAGTTTCCATAAGGGAAGGATGGATCCACTATCATTTCTTCACCAGTTTTCTTTGTTGCCAGCATCTCACACGTTCTGTCCTCCATGCCGATGAAGGAACAGTTTGCTGGGTGGCACCACTCTAACTGCTACCAGAGTCGCTAGGTTTGAGTTATATTTTGACAAAATCTGGCAAGTATCTTTTGGAATCTTCTATAGTAACTTCTGGAGGTGTAGGTGTTTTGAGCAGATTCTTGTAAGAAGAAATCATAGGAGAAGAGGGACCTGCAAACTTCTCAAAGCACTCATCTGAATTTGAAACTAACGATGCAGTTTTTTTCATTTCCAAATCATTAGATGAACTGTTTGCTTTTGATAATGGATAATTTGTGGATACCAAAGCTGTGCTGCTCTTTGTAGAAGGGGCTTTCAAGCCAGGAGTGCAGAAGGGAGAATGGGTGTGCTCAGCATCATTCTTTTCCAACGGCTGGGTCTTGAGGCCAGGAGTGGCAAAGACATTACCACTGGGCACTGGTTCTATTTCTATGGTCTCCTCACTGTTAGTCTTCACATTTTTAAGTCCAACTGTGTAATTGTGTCATTTAAGCACATAGTATATTCAGAGATACCAAAGTGTTCTAATTTAGGAGTTACACACTCAAAATCATCCATCTTTAGTGCACATTTTGGAATTTTTACTAGTGACTATTTGGAAAATGGAGTTAAAATTTTTGGCTCTTCCTTTTGGTTGTTTACTGCTTGGGGTGGGTTTGGCAGAACTTGGGATACAATGTACTACTCAAGTCCAAAATCAGAAAGTTGTGAAGTACGCGGTGACTTCTCAGAAACAGAAGTGCTTAGAGCAGCAGAATCCAACAAATCATCTTTCATGTCGGGCTTCTCAGGATTTTCACATTCACTGGACTCTGGTTTAGAGTCAGTGACTTCTTGTTCACCCACTGAATTTTTCTTGGCATGTGGATTATATCCATACTTCTGGAAAAACTCTTTCATTTTCATGATATCCACGGAATTCTTTTTCATCAATATTTTTGTTGCCTTTATGAAACCGATGCTTTGTTGACTTTCCAAGCTGCTTTATCAAGAATAATATTGACTTCATCCTTTAGAGTTTGTACTTCCGAGTGAAGGTCATGGAAAGCTCTCATTGGACAATCTTCAAAGCCGCTGTCCTCTCTCTGCAGCGCTAGCTGCAACCGGGCCGTCTCACCATCCAGGGTGACAGCCAGAGACCGCAGCTTCCCGCTAAAGCCTGGGATCAGATCCGTAGAAGAGCCTGGCACTCCACCTCAGCGCCAGCGCCTGTTTGAATCCCAGCGCCACAAGCGCCAGAGGCCCTGGGAGCCACGAAAGGCCTTTTTTGCAACCAGAAATTCTTGAAGACTTGAGAAAATGTGCTGCTTTATCTCAACATGCCATTAAACGTTCATTGTCCTTGGGAACATTAATAGTATTGACAATAAAAGAAGAAGAAGAGTTTTAGAAAACCCAAGCTGTAGTTCTTCTTGGATTAATACCTACAGCCCAGTAAGCAAACCTCACTGCTGACAAACTTAAGCTCTCAAAGACTCAGCTGATGAAACTAAAATGATGAGGATGATGAGCATGATATAAGGACTATACATCAAACATGCCAGGGGATAAAGTCACCTGCAGAAAGCCAGGAGAGCTCAGAGAGAGGGCTTCTGCTCAGAACCCCACAAACACAGGCATTCAAAGGGAAGGCAGAACAAGAGGCATCCAGGGAGGGGAAAAGAAACCTTTCCAGCACTGTGAGGGGAAGGGGGTCGTGTGCTGGGACGTCTGTAAACAGGCAGGGACCAGGGACGTTAAGACTGAACAAAGATAGGTAGCAACCGAGGAGGTGTTAGTATCCCTAATTTTCAAGAGGTGCTGAGAGCAGAGCCAGGGAAGGGTGGGAAGGACGGGGAGGTGCCTGACAAGGCACATGGAAGGAAGCCTGGTGACTGACTCAAGACATCTGCTCTAAGGTGGACCCTGAGAACTGTGTTATTAACAACTACTCACAAATGCAAATGGCTTACTTTCAAAGGGAGGGAGGAAAGGAAGGGAGAGAAGGGAGGGAAGGGGAAAGTAGAGAGGATTTAACACAACGCTTGGGCTTCCCAAGTGGCACTAGTGGTAAAGAATCCACCTGCCCATGCAAGAGATGCAAGAGATGCGGGTTGGGTCGCTGGGATGGGAAGATCCCCTGGAGAAGGGAATGGCAACCCTCTCCAGTAGTCTTGCCTGTAAAATCCCATGGACAGAGGAGCCTGGCTGGCTGCAGTCCATGGGGTCACAAAGAGTGGGAGAGGACCGAGCAGCTGAGCACGCATGCACACACTATCACCTGTAGTTACCTATATTCTGATGTGATTTCTGGAAATAGTGCAATGTAGGAGAGTTGGCGCTGGTGTGCTGGGAACTGTCTGTGATCCTGCATTTTAAAAGATGCCGTGAGACTGCTGCTGTGGAAGAAGGCAGATGGAAATGCGGGGCAGGTCAGAAGGCTACTGCAGAATCCAGGAAAGTGATGAGAGCGTAGCCTTTCCACAGGCAGAGGGGCATCCACGGTGGACATGGACCTGGGCATTGGAGAGCCTCCTGGAAGGGGAAGCGCTGGGAGATGGACCCAGGAGCACGGAGTACGCAGATCCCCGGAGAGGCTTGTGTGCCCAGGAGGGGACCACGTTACCTTTGGAGGTCAGGCTGGGAGGACGGACGTGGGTGTAGGTAAATTGTAGGTAAAGGGTGGGAAGTTACCAGAAAGCACACGCATGACCTCAATTTTCTCAATGACTCACAAGGTGAGTTTGTCTGCTGAGAGCAGGGGCGGGCAGGAATTGAGAATGAGTCTTGAGAAAAGAGCTGAGGTCTATAAATAGTCTTCTAACTAATCAGGCTGCTGAGGGGGACTGCGGGTCTGTCTGCGGGCATCAGAGGCGTGAAGGCGACCTCTCACCGGGGCCCACGGTCCCCGCTCTGCGCCCGCTGCTGTGTGTGTGGGATGGACAGTTAACACTCCCATCCGCCCTCTGCTCTGCAGCTCCGGGGTCACCGCCATATTTAAATAGCATGAGGGTCACTCACGTGTCTGCTGCCCCTGTGAGCATTCGCGTCCTGAATAGCTAAGACACGCTGGGACTTCAAATAAAACTTAAAACTAAATTGTACTATATAGACTGTCATTGCTGAGCAAAGTAGCCTAAAAACTTACAAAATAATTTTGTTGTTGTTGTTGTTGTACAGTTGCTAAGTTGTGCCGGGTTTTGCAACCCCATGAACTGCAGCATGCCAGGCTTCCCTGTCCTTCATAAAATATCATTAATGAGAATTGAAACAAAAAGTGATTTCTGCTTACAATATTCTGAGTAAGTGTTTCTGAGTTTTGCTGCAAATCTACAATAAACAGAATATTATTTCCCTATCCTTTATACAGATTAAACTTTTTTCAGTTATACATATACATGTATCTATTCTTTTTCCATTTTTTTTTCCCAATTAGGCTGTTACATAATATGGAGCATAGTTGCCTGTGAATGTTTTGCTTTTTTTTTTTTAAAAAAGATTATAGAGGATTTGCTGACATCAGACAATGAATTATTTGCAAAGATTCCTTGTGGTATATTATACAACTCAGTCTGCTCTCATATACACAGTGTCCCGCGTGGAGAAGGAAATGGTAAATCACTCCAGTACCCTTGCCTGGGAAATCCCATGGACAGAGGAGCCTGGCGGGCTACAGTCCAGGGATCGCGGAGAGTCACCACTAAACAACTGAGCACGAACAGGCGTGGTAGCGGCTCAATTATTTTTGTGCTGAGTGAGTCACTCTTGTCTTGTTTCAAACTGAATGGGAAAAATAGGAAATACATAAGAGTGAAAACTTTGTTTCCCAGGGAAAAAAAAAATAGCATGAGGCCTGGAGGAAGCTATTGATTCCAAAGTGGGAGCTTTTAAAAAATGGCTTGGATTATTGTTGGGAAAATTTTTTTGTGCTCAAAATATATGGCTTGTACATACATATACATACAATGAGTGTATATATACTCTGTGTATTCAGTGACAGTATACATATATATGTGTCATAGCACTAATATATGTGTGTATGTGTTTGTAGGTATGCAGGCATATGGGTATTATAAATGTATTATGTATGTATACACATATGCATATAATTCATATGGGTTTCCCTAGTGGCTGAGATGGTAAGGAATCTGCCTGCAACACAAGAGACTCAGGTTCAATTCCTGAATGGGGAATATCGCCTGGAGAAGGGAATGGCTACCCATTCCAGTATTCTTGCCTGGAGAATCCCATGGACAGAGGAGCCTGGTGGGCTACAGTCCATGGGTTTCGAAGAGTCGGACATGACCGGAATGACTGCGTACAGTGCAGTACCGTTCCTTAAAGCCCTTCAACAGTTCCTCACTTTCTCCTGACAAGTCCCAGCCAGGCACTTCATGGGCTGGGCCCTGCTTGTCTCCTCTTACGTCTGTCCTTCTTGGACCCCAGGCTCCACCCAGGCCAGGCAGCTTGCATTTCTCCCATCATGTATCTGTGCTTTGCTTGCTCGGGTTCTGATTTCTGTAATGCTGTTCTCAGCCCCCACCACCTTCCAGATGGAAAACACCTTCTTACCCACCTCAGCTCCTCTAGAGAACGTTTCCCAAGGTTCAGTTGTTTCAAATCCTCCAGCCTTGACCAGGGAAATGACTGCTTTCTCTCTCTGTTCTTCACTGTCTCTGGTACACCTCATTATCACAGCAAATACAATATTAAATGCACTTGTTTATTTATAGGTCTGCCTTCCTCTGTGCTTCCCAGGTGGCACTAGTGGTAAAGAACCTGCCCACCAATGCAGGAGACACAAGAGAACGCGTTCTGTCCCTGGATGGGAAAGATCCCCTGGAGGTGGGCATGGCAACCTACTCCAGTATTCTTGCCTGGAGAATTCCATGGATAGAGGAGCCTGGCAGGCTACAGTCCACTGCATCACAAAGAGTCAGACATGACTAAAGTGCCTTAGCACACACAATGTCTTCCTATGCCATACTCTGGGGGGCAGGGGCAAAATCTGTTTATATAGTATGGTTTTAAAATCTTTGGCTCAAACTATGTGACCTTGGGCAAGATATGTAACCTCTTCTATATCTGTTCCATCTTCCATACAATTTGAATGGTAATCATAGTCTCTATGCCATAGAATAGTTATGAAGCATAAATGAAATAATGCATGTGAAGTGCTTAGAGAAGATCTGATATAGTCAACCAAGTGTTTGATCTAAGGAAGTACATAACCAATAACAACGGTTCAGTGGTTAAAAGGATGAATATTTATCATTGAGAGTTGATAAGAAGAATGAATAACCTAATCCCAGATACTTATTTAGAAAGACAAATGAGTAAGTTGAATAATTGGAAGAAAGAATATTATAAGGGAACAACTTTTGGTGTCTGTATGGTCAAAATACCTCCAAAGACCTCTCAAGTTTCTGCCATAAACTCTTCCAGTCCTCCAGAACCAGCCTAACCAGGCTACAGAGATCTTTAAAACATCCCAGTCTTCTTAGAAAACAAAAACTCAGTGAAACCAATAAGAAAGGCTCACTGCCATAGTTTTCACTACCAAGCCAGCAGAGGTTCATTGTGCTTTAAGAATGTAAGCCAGTCCTGCTGCAGACTTTGAGGAATTTTGCATGTTTTCTATACTGACCCATTTGCATCAAAATGTTGGCAAACTAGGCTCACTCTTGAAAGTTAAATAGTATATAACCTTTTTTCCAGCTAGCCTAGCTTTGGGCATAAATTATTATTTTACATGAGCAGGTACTATCTACTTTCAAGGTACGCAGCTGACTTCCACAGTGGACACTAAACATTATATGATATACATGCATCATTTGTTATAAGGCAACACGCGATGCAGTGAACATTACTGGAGACTTCCTGGTGATGGTACCCGATTTCCATGCCGTCCCATTGAAGTGGACTTCACACCCACTCTCAGGGGTAGAACTTGTGATCCAAGTCTAAGCCATCAGCATGTCTCATTTCCCTATCCTTTGATCTTTGTGGACCATAAGTGACCTAGTCAGAGCCAATGAAATGTAATGACATTTTCACTGCAACTTCTGGGGAAGAGACTGTCACATAAAACCTTTGGCATAAAATATAAGAGAGTAAGTAGGTTAGCAGAGAACTTTCTGCCATAAAATCCAAGGCTGAAGTCAACACAAAGGCAGGCAGAGCAAGGAATAAAGTTTTTTAAATTTGGCAAGTGCCACTGAGAAGCCTGAGCCCTGAACTGAGTCTTGTCTGTAGCTAGCATCCTCTTTTCAGTTTCTGAGTCAATAAATTCCCTTTTTGACTAAGACAGTTTGGGTTGGGTTTTTCTGTAACCTCAACTAAATAATCCCAACTGGCCCTCATCAAAGCCACTCTTCCCAAACGGGAGCTCCACACTCTGATTCTATCAAAAAGATACCTGGTGTCTCTAGAGAACTCAAATGTGAATGAATCACAGCGTATTCAGGAGGATAAGTGTCTTGGGTAAGAAAATATCTCCTTTGGGGAGGCCTGTGGTTCACATTTCTGTGTGGGCCAGGAAACTCCTATAAATTTTACCTGTTGACACATTTTCTTTGCAGGCATTTTGCTGCTTCATGGGGAGGAGCCGGAAACAGAGGTGGAGGAGGGAAGGCGTGAGGCAAATATGAATGATTGTGCAGGAAGCAATACAGCTGATGGCCTTTTAGCAGAGGGCTGGCATGTGGGTACATGCGGTGTGAATTCACAGTGGAGGAACTAATCAGGCAACGTTATCTGATCTGGAACAACAAGAAAAAGAAAGGGTCTCTTTCATTTTCCCCTGCTTTGGTCTGTCTGAAAACCCTTATCAAGGGGACAGGCCTTGGAAGCACCCAACCAGAAAAACCGTGACTTTGGATTGTGCTAAAGTGGGGACCCAGGATCTGGCTTGTTTTCCAGGGACCTACTGTAGTTTCATTTTCAGAATGGAGCTGGAATTTTGTTCTGTGAAAATAGAGCAGTTCTGGACTGAAAACAAAAGTCAGACATGCTGATGCTTGAATATGAAGAAGTACAGAGTTTCATAAGTTCTTCTGAGTAATAGAGGCTAGTCTCCGGCCTGGGGGTAAGGAGGTGGTGAGAGCAGAACCAGTGTCTGGGAGGTTATTTCTCCCGTAAAAATGAAAAGCCTGAAGCAACACATTGAACAGTCAAAATGCAAAGCAGCAGAGCTTTCAGGAGGGGGCTTGGCCTTTGGGTACCAGGATGGGTTTCAAACTTGCTTCTGTCCCCCACTGTCTCCATGGTGATGAGAAGTTAGTTATCTTCTCTGAATCTGTTTCCTCATCTTTAAGCATCAGTTAGGATCTTGAGAGAAGTAAATAGGTTGGATTATATCAAGGGTTT